TAGGTGGGTCGTTAATCGATTTTCACCCAGCCTTTCACCTCCTCGTGTAGTATGCATCCCCAGCAAGCTGCCCCGCCACCGCAAAAGGATGGGGACTCCCCGTTCTGCGCCACGCTCGGTGTCGCTGGGTGTCGCGGTCTTTTTCCGCAACAGCCACGACGGCGTGCTCTTCCTCCCGCCGACGCGCCATACATTGCCACCGGACCCGACCCCGCATCCAGCAAGAGGACAACCGCTACTTCGGCGCCGCGGACCGTAAGCGCGTAAGCCCGCGTCCGGATCTTGCAGCGTAGTCGGCCCCTGCCCCGGCTGCGGCCCAAGCGTTGCTGCCCGGGCGTTACATTGTGGGGGGTTAGGGTGCCACGTCCGCGTCCGCGCGGCGGCGGCGGCAGTCTGCGTAGCAAGCCGTCCGCACTGGCCTCCTGGGGCTCAGCGGCTGCGCCTGCGTCCGAGCTTGAGCCTGAGCAGCAGGGGCGTGGGCACCGGATCCAAGATAGCCGAGATGCTGATGAAATCCACACTCCCCGCGAGGTCCTGCCCGCGCGCGACGTAGTACTGCGCCCACGTATGCGGGTCGTACACGTACGGCAGGCGCGCCTGCCGCACGGGTTGCTGCTGCCGCTTCACTGTGGCTGACGCGCGGGTTGTGCGCATGCGCTTGCTGAGTGGCGGGCTGCGGCTGCTGCTGGACAGACTGCACGGCGGGCTGGGACTGCGCCGCTACTCGTGTGCATGAGGTATGGTACTGCCTGCGCCTGAGCCTGCGCGGGATACGGCGTCCGTCGTTGCACCTGAGACAGCTGAGGCGGTGTCTGCCCTAGCGCAGGATACGGCGTAGGTCCCCGATACGGCGCAGGGTGGTACATCCCGCCCGAGTGCCGTGCGAAGCGGTCCCACATCATGCGCGCGCGGACGAAGGTCCCGTTCATCGACACAAAACCCACTGAGGGATCGATTCGTCAGTCAACTGATCAATAGCAGGGAAAGAAAAATACGCACCCCGCTTCCGGCTATACTTGTCAATAAGCTTGAGCTGAGCCGCAGCGCTACGCACGAGCGGTAGAGCACCTGCCAAGCTACCTATCGTCAGCGAGGACAAGCATAACGAGCGCAGTAAGAGCCATACGTGAATCTCGCCATCTTTCGTGCGAGTGACGTCCTTGCTCGGGTCGAGCGCACGAATCGTCCTGCACCCCCGTCTTCTCCCCCTCATTCTCGTGGCCGACGGCGGCGCAACGTCGAACACCGGGAGCAGCATCGAAAGCACCCCTTCCCCGTCCCCCGCCGCCGAAACGCCTCCGTCGGGAACGCAGCGTCGAGCGTCGAGCGCAGACGAAGGACCGGGAGCAGCGGTCAAAAGCACCCCTTCCCCCTCCCACGCCGCAAGCGCGCGCTGCACCTCGCGCACACCGCTTCGCGCCGACGGAGGGTGGACGGCGGAAATGGATGGCAGACGGCGGATAGTGTCCTCCACGGGCGGAGGGGGGACGCGGTGGGTGTATCTGATTTCGGAGGCCGCTCACAATCATCTCGAGCACGCCTCCTCGCGCCGACAGAGGGTGGACGGCGGATGCGGATGGCGAATGGTGGATGGTGTGATGCGCTCACGGGGACACGATTGCAGGCGCCTTCTCGCGCCCGCCGAACGGCAGCGGATGGCGTCGTCCGCGGGCGGGGCGGGGCGGGGCGGGGTGACAAAGGGGCTGTATACGATCGCGCACGCTGCCTCGCGCATGCCTTGTCGCGCGACGGCAGCGGACGGCGGAAGCGGACGGCGGAAGCAGGTGAGGAATGGTGTCGTCCTCCGCGGGCGGGGTCTGGGTGTGGTTGATCGTGGCGGGGTGTGTCAAGGATGGTGCGATGATCTGTTCCGTTGGGCACGATCGCGCACTCCCGCCGACAGAAGCCGGACGGCGGAAATGGATGGCGTCGTTTGCGGGCAGGGTCGCGGTGTATTTGTGATTTGCATTTGCTCATGCGGGGCCGATCGCGCACTGCTCCTCCTCGCGCCGCCGGCCGCAGGTGATGTAAGCAGGGTGTCGTAGGGCGGGGTTTGGGGCGGCCGTATCGTACGGGCAGCGGTCGCGACGATCACTCATCTCGCGCACGCCTTCTGGTGCCGGTGGATGGCAGAAGCAGGTAAGCAATGGCGCATGGTGGATGGTGTATGCCCGCAGGGCGTGGGCCTCGGGTGGGAGGGTTTATGAATCCAGTCTCACTGCGGCGCGGTCGCAGCCTCGCACCGGCAGAAGCGGACGGATGTCGGTCTTCCGCGGGCGGGGGCAGGGCGTCGGTTTGACGGCACGGATGTATTCGCCGGGTTGCTCACGGCCATTTCGCGCAAACTTCTTCCTCCTCCGCGCGCCGGCTGAAGCGACCGGGGGTTAGCGTCTCTCATCTGCGGGCGCGGCGGGCACGGCGCGAATCGAGTGGATTTGTAGTCTGAAGAAAGGGCGGAGTGAGTCAGGTGTTATGGGTATAGAAGGGAGAGAGAGAAAGTCGAAAGTCACGGAGACGCGCAAGTCACGAAGATGCGACGACCGAAAGATTGTAAGACTAGCGAGACGCGGCGAGACGCGGCGCGGCGGGGAAGGGAGAGATCCAGCCGTATCCACATCCACAGCCATCGTCCAAAAAATCGGAAAGAGAGAAAAGAAAAGAGCCGCGATGAAGGCAAGGGCGAGGGTGAGGGTGAGGGCGAGGAGGCACCGCCCGGCCTTCTCATCGTGCCTCCTCGGATCAAGCGCGCATCGCACGCGGACAAAAATACGTCCTCCTCAGTCCTCTCCCGCGGAGGCGAAGATAGAAAGATCGTGAAAAAGCGGGGAATAGAAAAATGGAAAGGAAATAGAAAGGAAAGAGGTGATATGCATAGCCATGTACGAAGAGAGAGAGAGATGGACAAGCGCGTCAAGAAAGCGAGGAGTGCGCCTTCACAGCCTCCAGCAGCCAGCCTCCTCCACCTCACCCCACATCCGTCGACAGCCACGATCCATCTCATCACCTCCACGAGTACTACGCCCGTTAACGATCCCGACATTCCGCCCCAAAGCGAGAAAAGCGAGTAACAAATTCGGCGAAGACGAAAAGGGACGAAAAGGGATGAAGCACGTCTCATCTCCAGCGTCCAACGTGCGCCAAGTAAACTCTCCCTCCCCTCCTCCGCCTTCCAGCGAAAGCAGCCGCAACTTGAAAGAAGAAAGTCGACAGAAGAAAATATGAGAGGAGACGGAATCCAAACCCCGCAAAGAAATCTCTCCCGAACACAAGCAGCACGCACGGCGCACCGACGTGATCGAGACGACTCCGCAGCCGTTCGCCCTCCGAGCCCGGCAAAGAAAAAAAAAGGATAGAAAGGTTGCGAGAAGGCCAAGGGAGGATCGCGTCGGGTGCTAGCCCACCACAAGCCGCGCGCGCGCGCACCCGCCCCAAAGTACCAATGCCGCGTCCTGGAAACCTCCCCCCGAGCGGTACGAAAACGCGCGAGCGTCCGAAAGGAAGCGACAAACCACGAGTAAAGAAGAAAAAGAGGAACCAAGAACTCACCCTCGCGTGAATAATCCACAGAGCCAGTGACCTAGACTTTGAAGGAGACGAGGGGGGCGGGCTGGGGACGAGGGTTAGCTAGCATTAGAAAGAGGGGAAGAAGGGATGGGAACTGAGCGCGATTCTGCACGTCGCAGACGCCGCGAGAGAGGATAGCACAGATGCGACGCAGGGAAGACTGGAATAGCATCCAAATCCCCGGTCCCCTAGCCGCGCCGCCGGCTACCAGCGCCCCACGAGTCGGCGAAGCACGCAAAGCCGCAGTTCGGTCCCAGCAGACGAGTGGCAGTCGGTGCTGCCGCCAGCAGCCAAATTCCCACCCGCACGGATCCAATCGCACCCATCGCGCACCCCGCACGCGCAAAAAAAGCGAGTCCGAACAGCAAAACCGCACTCGCCCAATCCATGAGTAACCGCGCTCTCCAGTCCATGCCCTATTCAACGCGACTCGATCCAAGAATGCATCAGGTCTTCCCAAGCGCCTCCTCAGAGTCAGTACTTGGCGCATGTCCGGTGGAGGGTAGAAGAGCAGGAGAGCAGAGTTCGGGGTTGTTTTGGCCTGGTAGTCATCAAGGTTCAGAGACGGTTGTTGAATGCGCCGCCGAGTATGCTCAGCCGACCGGGCTGTTGCGGGACAAGACAGACAGAAATTGCTCGACGTAACACGTTGCTGGACGGCATGTGACATGCGTGACATCAAATCTTGCTCTCCTCCACCACACCGAATCATTCGCACTTGAGCAATTGGATTCAAATAGGATCGCGCCATGGATGTCTCCCTTCATTTATCGATGAGGAGCGTGCTTTTTTCTGGGTGGATTAGATCTAGACTGGCCGAAAACCATCTCCTCGCTCAAGTTGCTCAGGATCTTCCTGCTTCAAGTTTGCTTCAAGTTTCCTTCCGGCTTTCTGTGAGCTCTCTCGGCACTCGATCACTTTCCTCGAGCTCCCGGAGCCCCGATATCTTCGCCTCCCTAGACTCAAATTCAACCCCAGCCGCCCGACGGGCTCCGTTTGCGCGTTTTACGCGCGCCATCCTTCTCGACTCTCAAGCGAGTGGATTCTTCTTCTTTGCCATAAGCCTATCATGCGATCCGACGATTGTGATCAACTGGGGACGAGACTGAGTCTGTATTATACACAGCCAAAAAATTCAGCAACGACATCAATTGCGCAGTGCAAGACTAGACTCGGGGTCAATCCGCCGCAGCTTTCAAAACTACAACAGGCACTTCGAGAGCGATGCGCACGGAACAATGAGACAGGAAGATCAAGGGAAAATGCGACTGATTATGAGACCCGGGGACCCAAAAACTGAATGACCAAGGCTCAAAAAGCACGTCGCGAACAATTGTACGTGACTCAGCCAATTCACAGATCGACAAACGAACGGCGAAACAAAAAAATTGCCGAGTGGCTCGCCCAAGAGGGAAAAGGAATTCTAACGAATCCAGGGTCCTCGGTGGGAGTCGAACCCACCGCGTCCACAGAATCGTATTTATGAAGGCTACACGAAGTGGAGGATCTACCGACTGATCCACGAGGACATTGTTAACGTGTAACTCGGGCAAATTCTGTCAATGGCAGACTTGGGTTCTTCGCACATCCCTCACCATCCTCGGTAAAATTATTAATATTTGAGAGCGAGAGAACGTTTCGGCGGGATGAATCGGCATCGTTATGATTTATCCGGACTGAGCTAAGATGTTATATCCTCGGGGTCGAACTGACACCGTTGAAAAGCGGGCCCGGGGTAGGGCCGACGAGCGGCAGAGCCCGTTCCCTAGTTCACCCATCCTCGTCCTGTAATCAATAGTTCAACTAGCAAAGTTTTCTGGAATGATACAAACCCTCAAGCTGTTTCTCTGTTCAAGTTCCACAAGGATTCTGCGAGACTGTAATCATCGAGTGCCGTTCAAACTGGATGGTGAGATTGTAATGAGAGTTAGGCGATTTTCGCAGCCCAGCTCATGACTTCTAACTGGACAAAGAGAAAAAGTTCTCAGCATACTGGTAGGTAAAGATATAGCGAGTTGTTTAATTCCACATACATAGTCCCTTCACTGTAGTCTGTAGCTGGCTGAGATGAAACTTACACCTGCCGCAAGGTCAAATTGTAATCAAGGACACAACAGCACAGGAGGCTACAACTTGGGTTCATTTTGGGGCTAATTGCTTAGCCAGAGAATATTTCAACCTCTCAGGCCGCCGCCGAGAACTGCTCAACGAAGCCAACAAAGGTACCGAACGGCCCATCCGCCATAAAGTCAAGGTTCAAGTCATGCCCGCTCCCCGGCGCGACTACAACAGCAAAACTCTTCGCAGCAGGCCACACAGCGCGTTCCTTCGCCGTCAACGCCGCAACATCGTCACACCGCCCCGTCCCAGCGCAAAACAGCTGGTCCTCGGACCCCACAACCTTCCCCACCGGCCCCGCGAACTGCGCGGGCAGCGATGACGTTTGACCCTGTGTAAGCGTGGCCATCGGCCCCACGTCCTTCGTGAAATTGTCGAACACCATCATGCGCGGGGAGAAAGAGGCGGGATTGGCGGGGTAGAAGAGGGAGCGGTTGCTCGTGGTGACGTACGCGGGGTCGAGCGCGCCCCAGCGCAACGGGGTGTCGTCGCGTGCGGGGGTGAGGGGGAGGGCGGGGGGCGAGCCGGGCTCGTTGATGAGCAGCCCTGTGAGGACGAGGCCGTCAAAGGGCGACTGCACACCCTCGACGATGGCGCCGAAAGTCAACATGGCTGACCCGGCGCTGTGACCTATCCCAATGACCTTTTTGAAGGGCTGGACTCCAGGGATGATAGACGATTTTTTCAGTTGACGGGCGACCTCGGAGAGCACGCCGGAACTCGTGGGGTATTGCACGTCCGACGCATTGACAGGCCGTGAGCTCAGCCCGACACCAAGGCAATCGACGGCAAGGGACGATAAACCACGCTCACACGAGAACGCGGCGTATGAATAGTTCTGGAACTCCTCCACCGGCGGAGACCAATATTGGCGATTGTACGTGACTCCGTGCACGAGAAGCTGAATGACATCTAAAGATATTTATCCGAAGTCTGAGTCGGGAAAGGGGATGCTGACTCACCGGAATTGTTGGAAGACACAGCTGCTGGCCGGCAGAAGGTCCCAGAGATGTTGAACGTGTCGTCTATCCGGCGCAGACTGCTTTCGTTGCTGTTGAGACCAGCGAATGGATCCGTGGGATCTTTTGGAACGAGGACGTCGACGTGAACCGGGATAACGACTGAAGAACAGCTGCAGGAAGCACCGGACACCGCAGAAATGAGGAAGAGCTGAAATGATAGCGATAGAGCGAATAGCAACATGTTTGAAGCGGCGCTCATCTGTCAATGTAAGCTGCGTCTTTATAACACTGAGCATGAGAAAGCGCCCCTTGATTAGTTCTGCACGAGGTCGTACAGCGCTGATTCATCGCGGGTTGCATTAGTCCCACTCCGGAGAGGAAAGGCCGGTCAAATTCCACCCCTACAGCAAGGTCTGAAGATGTCATAGCAGGATCAGAAGGTCAGAACCGTCCAACTTGATGGTGGCGACCAACTACGATGTCATGCGAGAGGAACTCTGCCGCAAGGGTTGATTGGTCGAGCTGCGAACCCAGAACAGAATCCTCTCGTCCGCAGTCCATATGGCAAAAGCTCAGGTCAGAAAAAAGAATGGGGGCGATGCATATCATACTCTGTAACAGCGGATAACCAACTCAGAGCAGAAGAGTAAGCGAGGATTCCATTCAAATGATACAAATTGTGGGGGTTGTTAGTCTTGGGAATTTCGTGTTTGCTGAGCGCTTGACACAAGGCTCGCGACAAACCCAATTCGCGGGAAATGGCAGCGTATACCCTTCGAGTTCTCGATGACGAACTCCTCCTTGTTCAATGCGACGAGCGTCCCAGCGGTTGCGAATTCCGGGCCTGCGAGACATATCACAGAAGTGAACATCATGAGCAGAGAGCGACGAACCAGAATCATCCCGGCCGACCGCGACCTGATCACCAGATTTCAAGCCGAGGCGGTCACCTTCGCGCACATCGAAGCCAACGACACTATACGGCTCGGAGGGTGCGCCTGCGATGCGCGCGGCGGCGTCTTCGCCGGAGAGTTCGGTGATAGAGGCTTGGGCCTCTCTGAGCTTCTCCAAATGGGCGGTCATGCGCGCGAGCCACTGAGCCACGAGTGAGGATAAGACAAGACACTGAAAGTGCGTACTGCGGCATACCTTCAACAACTTAGGAACCGCGCCAGCCTCAAAAAGCGGCTCCGCGGCTGGTATGTGTTTGATCCACACCAGCACAAAGTGTACAGAGATGTCTGCGAGGGAGGGCAGCTCCGTGTCGAATAGCCATTCCCGACCGTCGGATAACTGGAAAAAAAGCTCAAGGTCCGCGGTGTAAGATCAAAACGCAGGATAACTCACTTGGTCCTCTATCACGGCCTATTTTAAATGGTTAACCATCACAGCGCGGGGCTTTAATGCAGGATGGGCTGACAAAGTGGGTCGACAGCGCGCTGAGGCTTTTTGGACGACCTGCGGCCATCGCCTCAAAGTTGATATGCCCACCTAGAAGCTGTTGGTTTTCCCGTTAGGTAGCCAAAGAAAAAAACGCGAGCGCGGGAACCAACCGTCTCCCTGTCTTTGACAAATTCCGGCGGGAAACTCGCAAAGTCGAGTACCCGCACGCCTAGAAAGAAGACCACCGTCTCGGCCCAATGCTTCGTGAACATCTGGATTAAGCCCGCATCGGCACGCCCTCCCCCTTTTCGGTTGGGGAAAAGCGTCCCGTAGCCAGCTGACGCGGGGAAGCCTCTCTCGAGGGCGGAAGTGATGAGACTGCGGGATATAAGTGACCATCTTCGTGGTGGACGATAGATTACTCGGTGCGCACCCCGTATCACAATAGAGATCATTGCCGATGGCTAATACTGGGATTCGCCGGTACTTGACATCGAGCATGTCCGTAATTTCTGGCCGGGGGAGGATCCTCCCAACCTACAAGGATCAAAATCGTTCAAGCTGTTATCAAGGCTGTTATGTTTCACTCACATTAACTTTCTCGTGCGGGATGTTTTTGAGGAGCAGAACATGGTCGATCTAGAATCGTTGCTGGTGAGGGGCGCAGTGGTAAACACGAACGGAGGATCGGATACCTTGTGGCTGAAGGGCGACGCATCGTAGCTAGCCCTTTCTCAAGTCGTGCGGGTGAAGAGGTGAATAGGGCTCACCGATAGAGGATTACAGACATGTTTGTGGCGGAAGAGAACCCACCTCGGTGACATTTTTCAGGAAGAAGCTGCCGGGAGTCGCGTCAGCACGTTGCCGGGCTTCTGACTCGGAGCGGCTATTTGCGGCAGATCATGGTCTCGGAGTAGCTCGGAGTGGACCGGTCCTGGCGGTCCGAGTTCCCACACAACCAAATGCGGTAACGTGGTGTTGATTTTGTTCTCTTCCAGTTTCCAGGTTGTTCAACCGGATTGAAACTACTGAAATGGCAAGTGACGCCGTTTGACTATCTTACGCGTGCACATTGAGCTCCAAGTTCTCCGTCGGTCATGAAGCAGGTTGGCCTGAGGCGTTCTTCGCCCGTTGGCATGCATGAACTAACTAGTTGTGGCATTTTAATTCAGGCACAGAAATGTATGCCCTCCGTTTTCCCGCCAGCCTCGACAAAGTATCACTCCGCAGCTCACCCAGTCCGATGTATCTAACCATGCTACTCCATATAAGTACCGTTGCGGCGCGACTGATTTCACGAATCATCGGACATAGCCTCCTCAGTTGAACTCCGTTCGGTTAGCGTAGCTGTGTCTCGCAACGGGTGTACTATGAGCCATCGGATAATTACCGGTCAAGCGGGATATACATACAAGATGTGCCGCCGCTTCGCTTCGGCATCCGGGCGGAGAGTTCATGCCAACCTGATGCGAGGTGTAATATCAGGTTGGCATGAACTCTTATTTATCTATATTCACAGAGCGACTGCCACTACCGAGAAAATGACTTCTGTTCGCGTCTAAGAACCGCCTGAGCCCCAGAGCATCCGGGAGGCTAGCATCAAGTTCTGGAATGATAGCGAAAGCAAAACCGGAAAGATTTCAACCGAAGCCGCACATTTATTCGAAAGAATCCCGAGTGAAGCTGATACACGGTTTTGTGGTTGGCAGACGCATGCCGCTTGAGCAGAACGATGATTCAGACACAGTTCTGACTCGGGAGCACCTCGAAAGTAAACACATCCGGCCAGCTCCAACGCGTAAGCAAAGACACCGGCTTGAGTGACGAAGCATCTCAGCAAGAACGAACCAGATGCCTAAGAACGCAAAAAAGTGAGAGCTGCCGCGGTTTGTAGTCGGAATGGCGAGGTGAATACAGGAAGAGAAGATGTGGTCGGTGTCAGTGATGCTGTCCTTGCTGCCATTTATGTACTCTTGAAATCGCTTGCAGGGAGAAGCGCCGGATCGAGAATGAAGAGTGAGTGTTCATGAGTGGACTGGTGCTGAACCAGGGCAGGATTGATGAAT